ACTGCTAAACATTAAAGCAACTATTGACACAACGAATTGACTGAAATCCTGAAACTGGATGTTGTCTAATGAACATCAAAATGAACACTATAAAGAACATAAAAACCTTACAGCTCAAAAGAAATCTGCACTCAATGTATCCTATTAACAGTATTTATTTCCTTTTTACAAAAAAATAGAAATAACAACAGACGAAACATACTAAAAAAATCCAATGCTTTTGCCTTGATCTCACTGAGGAGCTGCACAGGCAGAGTCCTGGATGAAACGTTGACAGTATATGCTGTTGACAAAGGGAAATAAAGATATATGACAATATATCCATGCAAGACACAAAGTACAAAATGTGTTCCGTGGCCTAACAAACATTTTGGAGATTGCAAGTGTCATAACAATTTTCAAATTGTTACTTCTGCTCACCCATGCCTTTACACAGCACAGCTTACAAACAAGTTACATATACACATATATCATAAAAAAGATTTGTATATGGTCTGATACAAATTAAGGCATCCAAACAGCTGCTGTTTTGCTGGTGAGGGATATGTCTCATATTTGTGTTTCCAGAGGCTATATTTCAGGTATTTCAAACTAAGTGAGACATCATGACATGTTTTAGAGGAAGAATTCCTGCAGCTCTGGCTCTTCAATACTCTTTTGACTGTCAGATTTCTGGATTTTCCAGTTGATGTCATCATGCCTGGAGAAAAAAAGGAGAAAATTACTCAGTGGTAACACTTAAAATATAAATGGGTTGGCAATGTGTTTTTTTACCCTGTTTTGTTCCATTTGAATGTATTCAAATCAGAATTCATCTTTCTCTCTGCGCTTATTTTTCTAGACATATGCTGCACAAAATACTTTTTAATATTGTGGATTTTTTCTAAGTTTTAACTTTAATTCTGAAATCAAACCTGGAAACCAATGGGATGATGAGAAGCTTTTTAAGTCACAGCACTACTGGTGCAGTCTTGTCATGTTCTAGTAATAATGCAAAAAATATTTAAAAATTCCTTGTACTTTAGAGAAAAGTATCACAGTGACAGAAAGATCCACTACAATCAACATTAGACATATCCTATTGTTTTTTTACTCTATCTGTAATAGAATTATCTGTCCCCATCAATAATTATCAAAGAGAAATTAACCTCTCTATCTGTTGCATAGGAGATTTGAATGACAGCTTGCCAATTAGAGTAGAAAAATTAAACACAACATATTTGTAGCACTCATTTTCTTTACTTCATTTCATATGTTCTTGTTCTGAATTGCCAGTATGTTCCCCTTCTCTTAAATTAACTATCCAGCTGATTGTTGACTAAGCATCCAATCCATGGCAATTTTCAAACCAGTTACGAGCCTCACTTTTAGTTTTTACTACTGCAGAGCAAAACTCCTACAATACAATCATGACTAGTTGGTTTGCTGCTGACAGACACTAGTGAGCAAGAGTGCGTATGAGTTGTTTGCCTTTAACTCATGAGCCTGACTCTTGTAAACCAGAATAGCTTTATTTCAGTCTACAATCATCACAAAGAGCCAAATATTCCCAAGAAACTTATACTTAGGATGGTTAGTTAACCTGGTGGTTACTTAAGGGTTTAACAGAAGCTGATCTCATGGTTTTGGGTCCTAATAAGAAGTGCATGAGTGATCATTCTATTTTAAAACCCCCTTTATTAATCTAAATTACAGCTGACACATATCCAAAGCAACAGCAAAAGGCACTGAATTGAGCCAGATGACACTGACTTTGCAGGACTGAGTCTGAGGAGATAAAAGAGAAGCTTAACTCTTTGCCATACCTACAATGTTGGCACTTCATGTGCATTGCTATTATCATAGCATTAACTGTGTATCTTTACTAAAGGATGCTTTAAAAGGCTAAGACTAACCTGCTGCACTGGCTTAGGCTCGCAGTGTTGAAAGAGCCTGTGGGTGAGTTCCCCATGTAGAGGCTCATGAGGCACACCAAAGACCCACTTTGGCAGCTCTACAGTTGCAATGTGACCTCAAATAAGAAAATTTGTAGCTAATGCAGAGATGTCTCTAGGTGACAATACTGAACAGATATGCCTTTTACAACTGTGCCTCCTGACCTGGAGAAAATGTATTACTAATATTGCTAATTAGTGACCAAATTCCTAATTCAATTTCTAACAGATTATAGTGCCTGTATCACCACTAATACACCCTCTCATGCATCAAGCAGTGATGCATGATCACAACAGTTCACAAGAGAACAAATGTAAATCTTCCTCAACAAAGTTAGTTTCACATTCATGTTATACTCTACTAGTATGAATGTTTAGTATTTTGTTGGACATATATATAAGCATTCTTTTTCTGGAGAATATATTTGAAGTTGTAATCTATCCAGTATTAGGCCTAGCACTGGGATACGTATTAGCTTAGATCCATTTGCTATTTTAAAAGCATGCCCATTTTGCTATGAAAGACATCTGATGATGGATTCTGCTAAGTGCTTCACAGTAGGAAGCAATTTTTGCTGATCATAGCTGTACCCAATATAGGTTTCCATATTGATATAGTGAGTCACATAATATTTTAATGCAATGCAGATCTCAGATGATTCAAAGTGTGGGAAAGAACTGTTCATTGGCATACATGTAAGATGGAAAAAATACTACAAGTATTTGCTTGGAGTTGTAATATGCAAAAACGAGCTAATTCTTACAAAGGAGGAAAAAGTATAGCAAACCATCTTGCACATCCAAAATTTCTTCCAAAGCTTTAAGAAAAATAGGGTGCATAAAATTTAAATTTAGCACAAAGAATTTAGCACAGTCTTCTACTATTAAGATGTGCCCAACTTGAAAAAGTATACTACAAAGCCTTAATGCATTTTAGGGTATTTTGAATGAAAACAAAAAAACCAAATGAAAAGAACAGAAGCTGAAGAAAAAGTGCTGGAAACTAGTTGGCAGGAATGCAATCTCACTGAAACTAGATTTTGTATAATGACTTCAGATTTCAGAAAATCCTAATGAAATCCCCTATTATAAGGGTGTAGTGTCACAATGGGCTTGGGACAGTGTTCAGAAATATAACTGTCCAATGTAAAACCTGTTAAGGTTTTAACCACCAAAGACTGTCCTGTTTTCCAAAAAAGTTTTTTTTTTTTTTCAAAATAGTTCTGAAATGTAATTACATAGTGTCTCCAGACTATCCAGGGAAAATTCAAACAGTGTCCAGGAGGTTGTAGTGCACACAATGGTGATGTTCTTTTATGACTAAAATGTCGCAACTACTGGTCATCATGCAGTTGAAAAATGACAGACATCCATTTTTCTATTAAAAAAATCATAACATATGCTAAAGGTTATTACAAAGGCTAGCTTAGAAGCTTTGAGAACCTTCAGGTCTGTGTCCTGATTTCTGAAAAGCAATATACAACTTCCATTCTTATGTGATATTTGGAAATCTCATGTCACAGACTTTGGCACATAGTTTGCCCACTTCCTAATTTGTGGGTACTATAAAAGCCTGCTCAAGCCATGCCGTTTGTCCACCCTGCTCCTTGTTTCCTACTCTCTGTTTTTTCAAGTGTCTGTGCTAATGGGGGCAGCTTTAGGACATGGTGCCTGGACCAGCAATGCCTGGAGTGATAGCCAGGAGTTCATGCCCAACCATCACCCTCCCAGCAAGTGACTCCACAGCCCTGCACTGGCAGCCAGCCATTCCCTATCTCTCATTTCTGGGAAAATGACACATTGCCATTCTCACACAAGAGCAGTTATACAAAGCAAGTGACAAATTACAACAACTGCCTACACCTAGGAGATGGCTCTAACATAAGGATGAGATTAATTATTTTGCATTACTCTATGATCTGGACAGGCAACTGGATGTTTTTACTGGAAGCTGCCCACTGATGCTCCCTCAAACTGCTGCTATCCAGTTTTCTGCACAGAAGTTTCCGTCTTTGTTTTCAAGAGAGAATAAAGCTTCTTGGAAATCTTACAGTTTCTGGTTTCACATACACTGTGCCAATAGCTTCTGAACAAGACTCACATTTCCATTACAGAAATTGAGTTTTTAAATATGGGAAGGTCCTGGCAATAGAAAACTAGTGAATGGACCACCCCCCCTTCCCCCCTGTGTTAGAGATTTAGGAAACACTAACTTGAAAGTGAGTTAGGACTGTAGAAAAACTAGTCTCAAACTAACTTTACATTTCAGTTTAACAGAAAAAGAAAAAATTAATTTTTAAGTGTTAAGAGAAAATGACAAGTCATTTTTAGAGAGCATTTGCTTATAAAATAAACATTTTATCAATTGTTGATTTTTTCCAACATATCTTTATGGAATTGAGGGACTGGTTTCTATCTGCCTGAATAATCCTGATGGAACAGGACTAAATTAAGGAGTTTGAATACAATCAGAGTTAATCAAAATTTTAGAAAACAGATTTAACTTCAAAGTCTAAGGGAATATAAGAAAAATGTGTGAAAATTGAAGAGCACTTAGACTTACAGTAGTGCATTCTGCTCTATGGTCTCTGTAGTCTCTATTTAGAGATGAACTGTGGTCTTTTTGCTCTTCTCATGAGAGGAAATTTAATTTCCATTCTCATCTGGTACTTGACTTTTATTCAACAGAGGCAGATATTCAGCCAAAATCTGCCATATACCCTGCTGGATTTCGGAACATGAACAGTTTCTATACTTGCTTGGAAATGAAATCCTGTAGCCAGTTCAACAGTGACATCAGCAGAAATCCATCATAAATTTCTGTTTTTCTAGGAATTCAGATATTCATCTACTTTCCCTCTTGTGATTCAATCAATTCTAGTGCTTCAGTTACAATGCTAATAAACACATACAATTTGAGAAAAGAAGGCAACAGAGATGCTAAACATTACCATGCAAAAGCACATACCAAGCATAGTTACACAGGTCTTCTTTCAACGTGCTAGAAGAAAGACTGGTGTAGCTGAAGTAAGGATCCTAAAGAAGTATAACATCATAACAATTAACAGCATGCACAGAAATTCCCACATGCCTAACATGGAAATCTACTAAAACATGCAGTCAGCCACAGTAACATTTTAACAGATTTCCTTTTGCAACTGAATCTGTTACCTCTTTGAGATATGTGCTGTGGTCTTTTGGATTAGTATGAAAATTTCCTCCCAGTTCTGATGATGGCAGCAGGGACATGCAAATATGGCCTTTTCACAGAACAAGCATGTTATATTGCAAGCATCAACACTGTTAGAATTACTTCATACAATCCTTCAAATTTCTTAGGGGAACTACAAAAAATGCTCATGGCCTTTCCATCTATCAGCACATCTTTCAAAACAGGCTGTCTTTTCCCCATCACTATGAAATCTGAATTACCCATTAAAAAACCAAAAAAGCCATTGTGTTATATACTTCTTTGTTAGATTGGCTGTTCAACTAGATGGTGTGTGTCTTTAAAGACTCAAATCAGTAGTTCATATTGTGATTCTGATTAGACTTTGAGAAATGCAGTCCCACTTCTATTTAGCCCTTTAGGCCTCCTTTAAATTTTTCATTCAGTTTCATTTAATTTAATTTCAGTTTGCAATAGTACTACTCGTCTAACAGCACCCACTAATTTGGACTATTCACTGTTTCCCAGTTCTCTCTTTCCACTCTTTCTTTTGCCTCCTCTTTGTCTAAATTTTTCCTGTATTTTTCTCCCATTTACCTTGTCATACTTTTTACTGTACATAATTCACTACTGCTGCTCCTCCTCCTATTAGCCTGCTTTATGGTTTTTTTTATCCTGAAATTATTCTTCGCCTCATGTCTTTCCATCCACTGCTTCCCTCCTTGCCTATCTTCCATAGAGGATTAAATCATCTACAATTCCCTCTCACTCACCTCTACTGTATCTCCAGATGCTCACATTTCTCTCCATTCCACATACTGCACCCACAGCATTTCCTACATCTGTCTCTTCTATTCAGTAAAAAATCACAGAATCATAGAATTAACTTGGTTGGAAAAGACCTTTGAGGTCATTGAATCCAACATATGACCTAAAAAATTGAAAGATGCATTTGTTCCAAGTATTTAATCCTTTTTTTAAACATGAGGACCAGCCTTTTAACTGCATGCACCCCTCTTTCCCTTGAGTTCCCAGAAAAGGCACTCTATTCACTGCAGAAAGGGGAAGATCTGAACCCAGTATGTTTTGTAACAGGCCAGAAGACTGTCCTATGAGGAGAAGGTGGGCAAAGAAGACTTGCTGCTGACAGCTTCAACACCTAGGGCTGACTGTAGCTCCCACAGAAGTTGGAAGGACCATTCCTGCAATTTTTCCTTGTTATTTTTCTTATTCGGTTGGCGCCATCAGTCTTTATAGGATAGGACAGGGCTAGTCCTTCAGATGTTTACTCCTAAGAAAACCCATGGTTTCAAGACTGATATTCTCATTGTATGTTTTTGCACTCACTGCAACACCAAACATAATTTCCATGTGAATCACATCTCTGTGGAAGCTTTAAACACAGAATATGGCAATTACATGCCCTAAGAGCACAGATTCTATACATAAGCAGTACCTGCCACTGCTTGGAAAATTCTTCCAAAGCTAAATAAGTGGATGGATTTTCTTTAGGTCAAATACAATAAAATATTTGTGTGTATCATTTTGCAATAGAAAGGCAGAAGGAAGATGTTGTCAAACTCATGCACTACTTAATGAGACAAGGAAAAAACAGCCCCTCCTTCTTTCAGTGTACTCACTGGCTTGTTTCTTCCTTTTGAGACAACTGCTGGATTTCCCTTACTTTCTGTTGTCTTCCTTCCTAGTGAGGTAAAAGGTAGTGTTGAGGAGGTTTTGATGAGGTTTGCTGTTTGACAGTTGTTGTTGTTATTTTGGTTGCCACTCAGTGTCTCCATTATGGATCGAAAGGCTCCAAAAGGCCTTTTCAGCTGGTCCCCTGCATGCTCTGCAGAGCTGGCTGGAGCCTGCACAAGTCCTTTACTCCGGTCTTTATCCTTTTCCTCATTTAGTTCTGACTCTGCTAGTTCCACCTGCACCACAGGCTCCTCAAAAGTTACTCGAAGTTTCAAATTTTGAGAGGTTCTGCGCTTTGAGGATGGAGACTTGAGAGCACTCTTTGGGCTAGTCGCAACCTTTTGGGCAGTAGCACTGTCTGTGCTGGATGGAGAGTTGTCTCCACAGAACGGGTTCTGAGGTACAGTACCAGACTGATATGGGGATTCATTATCCACATCGCTGCTCTCCGAAGTAGGGGAAGGACTGTGGCCATCCACAGATTTAGAGACCCTGATACCAAAAGGGAAGCGCCATCCTGCTGTGGAAGTATGCTTCTTAAGCATCATGTTCAAACTCTCTGTGCTCTCAACACTCTCCACTATAGGCTGAGGTCTTGGTTTGTCAGTTCTTTTCACAGGGGTGTTCTTATGGTCCTCAGAATTAGCTGAATCTGTATCAGACTCGCTAAGAGACCGCTGCATCAGTTGCCTCAGTCGGGCTAACTTCAGCTCCCTTTTCTCTGGCAAAATCTTCTTCACATTCTTGGAGGATGCATGAGCATCCTGAAATTCCAAAGTCAGCTTTTCTTGCATACACACATTTTCAGAGATTTCTTTCCCCAACAACTGACGCAAGATTTTATCGGAGTCCTCATCTTTTATCTTAGCTTGAGCATGAGTAGATGTGCTCATTCCCAAGCTGCCAAGAATCTGAATCCCATCTTGGGTGTTCAATTTACTTTTTGGTGGAGACAATTCATCTGCTTCAGATAGTTTCCACTGGAGCTTGCCAGAAGCAGGAGATGATGACAAGCTTAAAGAAAAAATGAGGAAATATCACAGTAAAATTAAGGCATATCTAAAATGTGAAAGTGGCATTTACAATATATGTGTCTGTCTCAGTTTATTGTTCCTTATCCTTTTCATTGCTACTCCCATGGAATTCATAACTGTGATGCCACAGCACAGACTCCATAGAGAAGGATGTAATACTGTTTCTACTCCTATGCAGAATCTGAGTATCTCTACTTTCTCTTACCAAAAAAAAAAAAAACAACAACCCAAATATCATTAAAATCAAAACACCAAATATGACTTTATTAGGAAAACTCCAGAGAAATGACTCCTATCTGTGTGAGCTGACATGCAAAAAAACTCCACAAGGCCAAATGCCTACTATCCAAGCTACATCATAATACAAAAGTAGCATATTCTAAGTTCTGTGAAAGTACCACCTCTCTGCACAGCATTGATTTCATAAATCTAAACTGTATCTGGTATTAATAATAACAAACCATATAAGACCTCCTAAAAAGTCAGGGCAATTTGCTCTGAAAACCTTTTCAGATATGAAATACTGAAAAGCAAGAGAAAGGTGACATGAATGCATTTCAACACTAACAGAATAATAAATTAAATTTAGAACTCCAACTGTTTTACAGAAGGAAACAGCAATTACAGCAATGTCTGATTTGTGAAGAATGTAAATTGCAAAGATCTTTTCTTTTCCTGTGACATATGTCAGAGCTCATAACACTTCACATTCTTACTGTAAACCACTTTTCCTCTAAGGACAAGGTGACAAAATTTAGGTTCTTGTGAGGCTGGCAAGCACCTTCTTCTCTGATGAGTCCATAGTTCTCACAGTGTAAAAAATTTACATGCCTATAATAAACACTCCATTTCCAACTAATTTTATGTTGGTTTTTTTTTTCCTGTGGCAAACCTACACACTCTGAAAAACATGCATTTATCTACAGTGCACACTCCTAATAAAAGGGATATGTTCTCTTAAATCTGCTACTGCCTCTTTGGATGATGAAAATATCTACAAGTGAGTTCCAACTGGAAGGAAAAGTAGTAGCCAATGATGAAATAAAATAAATAGAGTGTAATTTTCAGACTTGCTCTCTTAACCAAAATGATGTTGAAGTCTACCCTTTTACAGGAATAATGAATGATGAGAGATCTGCTTCCACCTGATCTTATCTGATACTGAAAGTAAAACAATCCTGGTGCACACCAGAACTCAGATGAGATACCACTTGAGAAAATCAGGCAGCAAAAATCACAGAAACCAAACGAGCTGGAAAACAGCTTTTGGTGCCATTGTCGCTGTTGAGCTGCACACACAGAAGACAAAAATTCCTAAAAAAGGGCAAAACCCCCTTTTTCCAGTGTGGCTTTCTGTTTCAGCAGGAGTTTGGAGTTTACAGCCCTTTCCTAGCTGAAGTTCTTTTACATGAATGTGTCTTCAATCCTAATGTCTTTGTTATCTACAACTGCAAATATCTGTACTTGTTTGAAACAGTGACACATGATATTCAGGGCCATGGAACACTTATACAGGAAAATGCTCTGTATGTGGCTTCCAGAGAGGAAAATAGATTAACAAATAAGGATAAATTGAGCTATATTTGCAGGTGAGTTACTTTATTTCTTTCAAAATCATCTTCAGATTGCTGTGAGAGTGAAGTCATGCTTCATAAGCTTCCATGCAGACCTCTCACTGTCAGAGAGACCCCGTCCTCTGTCTTCCTTTTTAATGTCTGAAACCTGTGCTTCTTTCTGTGACTCTGACAGGATACATAAACAATAGTTTCCAGAGTTTTGACTTTTTATACATGCTAGAGCAGGTAAGAGATTTAATGAGTATAATGAACCTTATTAATATGAAAGCAGGTTTTTTGGTAACTTTTTATAACTTACTGCTAAAAGTAATGTATGATAGGCCAACAAAACTTTACATTTTTTCTAGGGTTTCTAGGATCTTCTGATGTTTGTTTAATTCAAAACATACTACATTCCACTATAAAACTGGCTTTCACTCTATTGCAAAGCAAAGACTATTTAGTTTATACTCAGGAATTTCCAATATTTATCAGCAATACTTACTGTCAAACTCTAGAAGCTCAGCTTCAAGTCCATGAGGTAGCCCCACATTTTCTTTACAGAACACATCTACTATTTAGCCAGATCACAGCTTCTCCTGATAACTGAAATGTGCAAATACAGGCTGTAGCACAGTTCCAGCCACCTTACCTCGGGGATGTAGGCAGTGACTTGCCCTCCAACCGCTGGGCTTCTAAAAGCTGCTGGAGCTGGTTCTGTAATGTCACACGTTCCACAGTCTGCCTGCAAGAAAATGGAAGACTCTATCTCAATTTTTTTAAAACTGACTGAATAAGTAAGTTACAGGAAAACTGAAACTACGCTTTCAACTTTGAATTAAAGAAAGAAGTTCTCTTCACCTGTACTTTATATACGGAATAGAAAATTTATAAATAAGAACATAGTGAGTTTGTGCTTCTGTCTGAATCTCTGCTGACATTTTGTGATCACTGTACAAGAACAACTGAGAAAAACTTATTTTTCAGATTATTTATTATACTTCATATAAGGACAAGTGTATGATCATAAGCACCAATGAAATGAAACTGACTCACAGACACAAAAATACGGTAAACTTAGGGCGCATAGATTAAGCAGCCACTTCCTACCTACGTTCAATGGATGGCCTTCATCATCCGTGCAACAGCTCAGGCAACTGTTCTCTCCCTTTCTATTTGCAAAATGAACTCAGAGAAAGTTTCTGCCCACTGGAAAGGATTGCTCCAAACTACGGTTGCAGGATGGATCTGGGTGTTTGATGTCTATACCACATCTGCTTTTTGTGCAACCTTTCCAAAGGTCCTACCTGGCCTCTGCATCCACCTTATCCTTGTACTATAACTACCCAAGTTTATCACATTGTGTGGTGTTGTGATCTACACTGTTTTTCAAATAACTTTAGAGACCGGCACTTAAAAATTGCAATAGTACCTAAAAATTGTTAATGAGAGTGATATCCACAGTACAAACTCCATTTTCCATTTGTCACCTGTAATCACATCTGTTTGTCCTGCAACATACCTATTTCCCTTGGATGGTCTCAGTTGAGCATTATAACCTGCAAACCCTCAAGTACAAGAATGGCAGATCAATTTGCCACAATTTCCCATAGTATTTTTCCTGCTTCTGTACAATTCAGACATTCCATTCTTACATCAAAACACCCCATTTTGTTGAAAATTAGAAATTTAGAGGCTTTTATTCCCTGGTCCTGACCAAATGACCATGGGAAAATTACTTTTTATCTGCTTCCCCCAGGCTCTGCTTCTGTTGCTGTCTATGTTTTTAGTACTTTTATTCTTGTTGGATATGCAGAACTAAGGCAGTTCTCTACCAGTGAGCTGGACACTTTCCTAGCACAAACGCCATCAGCAAAAGATTTAGCTGTGTTCCAAATGCAATTCTTATAACTGCCAATGTCAAGGCCAGAAAGAATCCAGATCACTTTTTAGAGGTTGTACTTACAGGGCTGGCAGAAAAAAGATGTTTTACTTTTAATATATCAAAGTGAGTTTGAAAAATGAAATAGAAATAAAGATGTGATCTTGACATACTACTTTGCATTTTACAACACAGCCATATTATATGTAGATCCTTTCTTTCTTTATTTTCCATCTTTCTTCCTCTGGCCTACACTACTTCTTTAGACTATTTTAAAATTACTTCTACCATCTGTCAACGTTAGCTTATATTGCAGATCCCCAGATACTCTCCTACAAGAGGCAGTGAAATTCTTTTTAGGTTGTGATGCAATTAATCTGTTTTCTTTTCCTTTTATAATTTCTTCAATTTCTTTTTCTAAATAATGCAGCTACCAGTTTTTTATGTTTTTAGCTTCAGAGGAGATCTATGACATGTCTGCCTCTTGAGGTAATGTTCATTCTACTTAAACAATTTATTGTGCTAAGAGTTGAAGTTTACTCCATTTTCACAGTTTAACTAGTTAGTACATAACACAGACACACACACTTCTTGCCAGCACTATACCTAAAGATAAATAACATACACATATATATTCCAAGATAATACTGGAAACAGGAGATTACAACCTCTTGGAATAGCAATACTGCAAAATACTAAAGCTAGACTGATTTAGAAGACAAGATCACTGTATCTTCAGAGGTAAGAGGTATATTCATTTTATTATAATTGATGGCCACATTCTGGGGATCTTACCTTAGCCAATGTTCCCAGTGAGTGATATGTAAAGACCCTTCAGTGTCTAGTTAAGACATCTGGGGACCCCAAATATCTCCTTATGGAATCAGAGAACTCAGTAACTGCAGAGGGAATAGGCTGAGGCACTGGCTTCTACAGGAGCATCTTTCATAGCATGTTTTTTTTATTTATCCCTTTTTTTTTTTTCAAAATAACACAAGAATGACTGTGCTACAAAGCAGAATATAAAATGGCTTAACTAAGTGAAAAAGAAATTAATATTTCAATGTTTTTATTTGGTTTCTTACTATATGTCTGTATAACGTTCTACCCCAAAAAAAACCCATATAACCAAAAATCACAGCAACCTGCACACACTTTACCATACCACTACAGAGATTTTATTATGCAGTTAATTTTACAGCTACTTCTAAGATGTTCCAGGAAAATAATGGGTTTCTTTCATACAGCACAAAAAAGTGTCTCCAACAGAGAATATTAAGATTATTTTCTCAGTCTTATCTTTTGACTCATGGTTTGTTTTGATTTTTGCCTTAACAGAGATTTTGGCTTGATAGCGTATCAGAAGAATCATTAGGTGTCTCACTCATTAACTGATTTCCCCATTCATAAATGCATGACTGTAAAATCTGGAAATGCAGGTCCATTTTCAGGCAGCATTGCATAAGACATCTATGGAAGCACTCACTTTATGTCATTAATTCTGACATGGTTTCTTCAGAGCAGGAAAGCCCAAATAATACAAGTTATACTGCATGTAGGAATTTTCTACATGAGCAACCATGGATTTTTTTGCACAGGTGAAATCAGTGCGAGAATAACTAACATTGTAAGACCTGTGAAGACCTCAGGAAGTAAAAGGAAAGCAAATTTCTTTGTATAGTCTCTACAGGAAACTTCTGTGACTGTTCTAAGTATTTTGTTTAGCTCAGAAAGTCATACTGGATTTTAAACAATCTGTAATTAGGAAGAGATTTAAAGGAAAGCTTACATTTTGAAACCAGTAACACCAGGTCTTTGTAGGCCTCTTTTCTTTTTACCTATGGAAAGAATTGCTTAGATTTTTTTCCCTTTTAGGGGAAATCCACAGCTAATACTCTTGTGAAGATTTGATGGAACATTTGTAATTTCCACTTACTTCCTTCTTCCCAATATAAAGGCTTTAGCCTCTGAATGGAGACTTAGAATATTTTTCTATACTCCTTTGTATTTGTCATCTGAGCTGCTTTGGTTCAAAGAGCTGAAAGATGTGAAGACTGGAAAAAAATGATGTTATTGTTTTGATTTTGTGTTTTCTGTTAATAAATGGCTCCAAACAGAGTGATGGTTTGGAATAAGTTCTCTCTAGAATTCCTCTGTGTTGCTTTTCTTCTTGACTGGAAGAACTCACAAAAACAGAATGGAACATCTTTTCTTTGGGTTAAAACCTTTGAAGATATAGGTATTGATAAGTACTTGTCTAAGAGAGTTTCCGCACTATTTTTCCTCTTATCAGTCTTTCTTTGGCTGGGGAAATAGTATTACCAGATGAGGCTCCTTTGTTTCATCAATAAGGAACTCAAAAAAAAGAAGATTGCATGATCAGCTCTCACTTATGAAAACTGAGGGAAGGCTGGGAAGCACATAAGTGCCCTCAGTGTTGATACTGACAATTCAGGTAATCCATCATGATAAAATCATACCTCTTCTCTCTCTAGAACAGTGTTCATTAACCCTGGGAGAAGTATTGGTGAAAATCCAGGAAAGACAGCTTAACTGCACAGGTTGCAGTTATTCCTATGTAACAGCTATGTTACATACATATGAAAGAATTAGATAGCAAACTTGACTCCCGTCTGTTGACATCTAATGTCCTCAGGATCTTCAGAACTGCTTTCAAGATTTTCAGAGGTGTTGCAGCCAGTGAATTCTCCTGCTGTGAATAAGGCCCCCTTGATGAGTTGCTCCACTTTGTACCATCCTTGGATTTTTCAAAAGGATGGCAACTGCAAAACAGGGCAAAAGTCTTCTTCCATCATTCTTTATGGCTCCTGAGCATGAGCCTCTGAACACGGTCCATTGGTTTATCAAAACCACTTGTGGCCTGAGGCCAGCAGTCTCAATAGCCACGCAGAAGCTGCTCCCTCAAGCAGAAAATACATTATTTCACTGCCTCAGTAAACTGAAACAGGGTTCCCACAAGAGACATATGTTGTGGAAGAGGGAGAAAAGGTTGCTCCTGCACTTACTAAAACTAATCTGAAGCCTGAAAAATAGGCTGCTGAAGGGAAGCAGACTTAACTCCAGATGAAACAAATAAATTCATCAGGAGTCAGATAAGTATAATTTCAATGTCTTCCTATGGATGCAGTCTGTGAGACAACAGGGATACTCGGTAAAGGGCTAAAGCTTTTGTCATGAAAGTCACAACTGGACTATTTCTGTGGGACTAAGACTCATATAACAACTACTTTTTTTCCAAATGAGAGGTAAAACTTTTATCAAGTACTGGGTGCGAACAAAAAAGAACTGAAACATGGGTATTCTGTGGCTGCCACATCTACTTCCTGGTGTGTGTGTGTATAGTTTTTAATTTTTTTTTCCTATTGAATTATGGGGAAAATGTATTTCATTATATTACTCATTATATGAGTCAGCTGCTAATTCTGTCTTCTAGGGAAATACCCAATGTTTATTTTTTTCCTTTATGTCAGATGATTGTATTTTTCAGCAAATGGACCAAGTACAACCAGGTATGTTGACATATCCAGGGAATATTGTCAGGCTGTAAATTATGAAAATGATACATTTTATAATGATTCTTACTGGGATACACAAAACAGAGTACTTTAGACCTTATCGGGTAAGAGATTTGCTAAATAAAATGCCTTGGCAAGAGCGAACAGAACTTTGAGACTTAAATCAAGATTTCAAGATTTAATCAGACAGATCTACCAGAAAAAGAATATTACTTCAAACTCTGCAAGCAAGAGATGTTGTAAAATGCGTAAGTTTGTTTGCGTGATTTTTAATCCAATCATTGTAGTAAAATTTCACTAGCCTTCCTAAAATACTATATAAGAATTTGTATTCAATAATAAATTCCGATTCTTTGACTACCTTTGACCATCTCACCAAGTCCCTGTCTCTCTCTCATCATCACTGATAGATCCTCAATTCAGTGTTTGTATTTATAAATGTAAAAGCATGAAGATATTGCAAAGAGAAAATGTAAAGGTAAACACAGGGCAATCACTTCTCTATTACTGTCATGGACAAAAGAGATTCAACATGGGGAATGTAACTTAATTCATAGTTAATTAACATAAATTTCATTACTGGTTCAGGTATTAGGAAACAAAGGACAGACATTTAAAACATCTATCCTCTCCTTTTCCAAGTTCCACTTCTCTCCCAGATTCATCTGCACACCTAGCTCCTCTTCACCATTCTCAGGCTTCACTCCAGATACCTCTCTTGCCCTCTTGTCATTGCTGCAGGTTGTCCCCAGTCTTTTCAGTAAGCCAACATGTAGCACAGGTCAGGGTTCATGTGTAGCACTTTCTCTCTGTTGTTCCTTTCTTCCCACCCTCTCCTGTTCTGTAGTGCAGGTCTTTGACAGGCTGCATTCCATTCAGGAAATCACTGAGTCTCAGCTTGTCCATGTGCTACAGCCTTTTTAAGGGATGTACCTGCTCTATCATAGGTATTCCAGGGACCATTTGGGGCTGTGCCTTCTCCACCATGGCGCACCTCCAGCTCCTCTGGCCTTGCTGTTCCCTGTGATTGTCACTCTTCTGTTTCCTTTGTCTCTCTGGCATTTTCTGCTCTTTTTTAGCCATGTTTTCACAGAATGACCAGTGGGGCTTAGCTGTGTCCTGCAGTGGATCTGTTTCAGAGAGTTCTGTCTAGCAAAGGGAAACCCCTCACTCATTCTCACTGAGGCCACTCTGCAGCTCCCCTGGTACCAGAGTATTGTAATTTATACCAAATACAATTAGCTACACATTTACCACCATAAAAAGATATGGTCTCCTTGAAACATGGGGTTATCAGTAGTCATTTTCATTGACTGTGATAGCTGACATCTTGATCATATACCTATACTGGAAAAATGTCAGGTCAGTGCTGGTGGTTTCTAAGAGTCTTATGAGGATATTGACATGCTAAGCCACAGTAACTGTCTCTACAATTAAAGCAAGCAACTAGAAAATTTGTGTTTCAACATAATAGGGTCTTTACAGAATACTTAATGAAAACTATACCAAAATATTAAAACCAGTTCATATGACGAAATAGAGAATAGAAGGTTATTTCCTGAGTAGCCATTGTAGGTTTTGGTGACTTTCCAAGACCAAAAAAAAGCTCCTTGCGTTTACTGTCTCTACTACTCCTGCCAACATCAACACCCAGCACTGTAGATAAAAACATGCTATATGAGCAGAAACTATGATCTGTAATTATGTGATTGCCAGATATGCAAAGGGAAAAGGAACTGGATTTCTTCATACATACCCTTTTCAGCTGCCACTGCTAATAAACTGAAGATCAATTAGGGTATTGTTTTAAGATAATCCCTCTTGCTAGCAATGAAACACTTACTCCTTCAGCTGCTTAGTCAGCTTGACAACCTGAGAGGCCAGTGACATACATGTCTCCACAACTACTAAGTAGCGGGAACACATGGTGTGCCCATGTCGCTCAGCACTTTGAGAGGGTTTCTCTCCCACATGGTTTTGCATGGTGACATTTGCTCCATATTCAACCAATGTCTGTAAAAACATAAAAGGGAACAGCGGCATCTGTAAGTGTAAATCTCTGCTGTGATTTCTGATCAGCACAAGAATGGTTGGAGAAAAAGCATTCCTGAATAAAATGCTTGAAAAACATTAGTCTAAGCCAGTAATTTTTAAAATTCAGTCACTGACAAAAACACTGACATGTTTGCAGCTTGAATTCAAACCACATACCAATAAAATATACCACTCAGGTGCAACAGGAATACAGAAGAGTGAGCTGCAGTTCAGAGGAGCTATAAAGAGACTATATTTTATAAGTTACTCCTTCCTCTCCCCTTGAAGTTCTACTAAATTAATTTGTTTTCTGTTCATTCATTTGTATAGCATAGCATCACTTGTAGCATTCATACAAATGAAAACAGGACTTTTGTCTGGCCACCTATTGATTCTCTCCTGCACCACAGTAACAAACTTTTGCAGATGTAGATGCATTGTGATAACTTTACATATAGCAGACCTAGAAAAGAAGACACATGACAGCTGTTCTAGATGACATCCAGGTCCAGAGCAGCATGAACATATTGCAAGCCAGTTTATAGTGGGTAGTGATAAGCTGTAATAGTTTGCCACGTCTTTTCTTGGGATCCCCACACTGCAAGGTATTGCAACATACCCTCAGAATCTCATTTTAGTAATGTCTTTGCTGCAGCATTTGCTGACTCTTTTTGTTAACTCTTCATTTTCTACCACAGCAGAATCCCAATGTTTAAAACACTCTATAGGGAAGTCTCAGTGTCCTGACTCTTAACTAAGCAATGCTTAGATATGAAATATAGGGCAGATACTTTAGGCCAGATAGGCACAAATTTCTTATTGCAGATAAAGAACTGTAAAATTACTATATCAATCCAGCTGGAATTTTTGGGAAGTCTGGTCACTATGACTTTTTAATACTGAGAGAATCTCATTGCTTTGCACTTTCTTAGTTAGTCACTATTTTCTTAAGACATACTGATATATGTGTCAGCTTTTAGTCTTCAAGAAAAATAAGATTTTATACTCTGATGTATATCCCTGTGTTACTCACAGTACCAGAAGAGAACCCTAGCTTGCTGCTGGAGAACCATCCAGGTTGTAAGCATGACGTTTGAATTATTCTGAGACCAGACAAATAGTGTTCTATATGCAAAAAAAGTTCTGTCTGACCTCAAGACATCCAATAACTAAAGCAAGATTTCAGACCAAATCTTCCCTCTTTATAATCTGTTTGTGATAATCAGAGTTAGGAGCTATTTGCATTACTGGAGTAGGTAAATAGGACCTAAATATTCTCAGCAATGCTTCGATATGCATTGATACCAGCCACTAGGAAAACTTGTGATCCTGTACAGACAGAAACTACAGCATCATTAACTTCAGGCATACACATGCAGAAGAGGGATTGTATGGCTGAGCTCTTGGTTAACTTATCCAAGCAGAGCTGGTAAACCACTGAGGGTTGGAGTGACTTGGATAACTACAAACAGCAGACACAGAGACCTCAACATATGACAGAGAAGTGGAATGGGTGGTCTGTCTGATCTGCTAAAACCGTACAGAAAGGAAAGTTATGAACTCTTGCACTGCATCTCATATCAATAGGTTGTGCTTAATTTGTCAAGAAAGAAAACAAAGGAGAGTTATTACCTTGCATAAAGTAATCATATAGTTTGAAACATGATAGAGCATCATGTGATTATATTATATTATATTATATTATATTATATTATATTATATTATATTATATTATATTATATGCTTATAAACACAGTAAGTAGGCCAAGGAATCACTGGCAGCCTGTGATTTTTCAGTTTTTATGCTGTCGCCTACAGTTTCTCTGTTTTCTTTATCACTTCTTTATTCTTACCAGATTATTCACTGTGCATTATATTAAATTAGACTGTAAGCTTACTGGGCACAGAGCTTATTTTGTTTCACAGCACAAAGTATCAACTACACTTAAGTCTGTGAGGTGTTAGTGAAGTGATATCACTGACATTGGGTATTTTTATCACCACTAAGTATTTTCATGATTTTCATGACTTATTTCTCATGGCCTCACTTCAACAATAAGTACTTCTTGAATTGCACATTTACTTAAAATAAAATAATCTTTAGAATTCAAAGGCATTTATTAAGGTTTGTTCTTCACAGGGAAAGCAGGGTTTGTTTGTTTCCTTGTTTAGTTCCATGAAAACATCTGCAGATGTCACCACTCTGTTCAAAATAATCTATACCCATTTCTCCTTCAAATGCACTGCACATCTTGATGAGGCACTGTTGAGACCCTAAACACACATGCCACAGGAACCCTACACACACCCTTTACCACAACAGTGCCCCCCACCAATAAATCATAAACATTTCTTCTATCCATTTTTTTTCAACTGATCATAGCAATTGGCTACAATACAATAGTAAACCCAGTAGATTCAGCGTGGATGTCATGGTTTGTTTATTTTATTCTCTTATGAGTTTCTACAGGATCCATTCTTCAAGTCCTTAAGAAAAAAGACATGTCCTCTCAGTAAGAAAACACAGAGATGGTCATGTTCTCCAAATCTGACTGTTTTCTTTTCAAGTCTATTCATTCAGCTCAACCTGTTTTTCTTTCTTCATTATGCGATACTCTCAAACTGGCTTTTACAGAGTTATGTCTTCTGGGTGAGCAAATATATAAATAGACTGCAATAATAATAATAGCTCTGCAGCTGTAGATACAGCCTAACGGTGTACACAAATATACTTAGCTCTCTGGAGAGATTAGCTAATGAAAATTCACTCTGTATTTCTTTTTGGGTTGGACTAATACAAATGTTCTGTGTTTGCTGTGGCCTGAAGAGTGATGTGGATTGGTTCATGTATGGTAACATGTTATTACATGTTTACTGATACATATCTGAATCCTTAGAGATTTACTCCTCCTTCTTAGACATGTTTTCCTCCCTAACTTGACTTAATCACTTAAATTTTTATTTCTTGCCTTTCTGCCAAGAGGTTATTTGTTTTTTTTATCTATTCTTCTCCAATGTCTAGTTTCTTTATCAAATACCTCTCTGCAATTTCCTGGAATAATTTTATTATTATTTCTTCTCCAAAGAGCTTTTGCTCAAAGTGCCGACAACACAAACACTGAAATGTACTCCTGTGACTAATAATTCTAGCAAATTTGATTGACAGAGGGTACGTCTGCAATTAACACAAAGTTAAGTTGCTTCACCTTCAATAATTTACCGGAAGTGCTGATCAGCCAGGGAGGTTCCAGTGAGTGGAAGCTGCCAAACTTGGCACCCATGTATACAAGGGTTTGAGGAAAGAAGGATCCAGGGAAGAGCAGGTCTGTCAGCCTGATCTCAGTGCCAGGCAAGTTCATAGAGGAGATCATCATGACCATCCTCATGCAACAAGTACAGGACAACCAGGGGATCTCACGCATAGCATGGGTTTATGAAAGGCAGCTTTTGCTTGACCAACCTGATCTCATTCTATGACAAAGTGACTGACCAGATGAGGAAAAGGTGTATTTACCTAGATTTTAGTAAAGCCTTAGATATGTTTCCCTACAGTATTCTCCTAGAGAATCTGGCTGCCTATGGTGTCATTGAGTGAAAAAGTGGCTGGTGGTGAATGAATTTACCTCCAGATTGTGACTGGTCAGTGGTGGTGTTCCCCAGGGCTCAGGGTTGGAGCCAGCCCTATTTAAAGCAATCAACATGGACAAGGGGATCAAATGCATCATAAGTAAATTCACAGATATGTCAAGTTGGACAGGAGTGTTGATCTGCTCGAGGGCAGGAAAGCTCTGCAGAGGGATCTGCACAGACTGGATCAAAGGGCTGAGGCCAACTAGATGAGATTCAACTGCACTTGGACCACCCCAAGCAGCACAACAAGCTTGGAGCAGAGTTGCTGGAAAGCTGCCTGGCAGAAAAGGACCTAGAGGTGCTGGCTGACAGTGGTTGAACATGTGCCCAAGTGGCCAAGAAGGCCAAGGGCATCCTGGCCTGTGTCCACAATAGTGTGGCCAGCAGGACTACGGCAGTGGCCATACTGCCATACTATGCACTGGTGAGGCCACACAAGCCCTGTGACCAGTTCTGGGCCCCTCGCAACAAGGAAGACATTGAGGTGCTGCAGCAAATTCAGACAAGGGTAGCAGAGCTGGAAAAGGGTCTGGAGCAAAAGCCCTATGAGGTTGAGGAGGCTGGGGTTGTTTAGTCTGGGCAAAAGGACACTGATGGGGGACATTGCTCTCTACAATTGCCTGATAAGAGGTTGTAGCCAGGTAGGAATTGGCCTCTTCTCACAAATTAACAGAATGAGAGGAAGTGACCTCAAGGAGAAGTTTAGATCAGCTATTACGAAAAAAAAATTCACAGAAAGGGTTGTTAAGCACTGGAACAGACTGACCATTGAAGTGGTGGAGTCATTTTCCCTTAAAGTGGACAAAAAATGGGCGTGGATGTGGCATTTGAAGACATGCTTTAATGGTGAATATGGTGATGGAACTAGTTTGATCAGACTTTATGATCTTTGAGGTCTTTTCCAGCCTTAATGGCTAATGATTTTGTGACCAGCCATCCAGTTCCACTCCATGACTTTTTTGTTATGCTTGCATTGAACACAGGTGCTGGACAGAGGTATCCAAACTGGCTAATTCTGGCTCCTCTAGGTACTGTAGATGTGTAAGCCTTCTCAGCTGGACAAATGACCATTTTTTAGCACCTCTGTAAACAGAACTATATTGTTTTCAGAGGCCAAGATGAGTCAGAAATTAGTTAAATTAGTTAGAAATCAACATCACTCTTCATTGTATAGCACAGATTTATTCCAGGATGATAAGTCTGAAAAGGATGGTTTATTCAAGGTGTAAACAGTTCAACAAACCTATCTTCTATAATTCCCCTCATCTGGATAGCTACAACTATCCTTTCTCAACGGAAAAAGAAACAGAAGGAAAATATCGGAGTAATGAGAAAAGTATGCATATCTGCACTTGCTGCCCTTTGTAACACAAAAACATACATATTAGCTGTTTTTATATAAACAATATAATCATGTTTTCATCTTGCAATACAAGTTAGTTTAGGTTTACAACAGCATACTCAAGAGTAGAATCACAACCTGGAGCTTTTCAGTATTTCAGTTTGACTCCTACTGATTTAAAGTTCTTCCTTCTGATATATTTTAATGAATCAATAAGTATCCCCACTTAGATTTCTAATAATACAGTTTTGGCATTCAAGCTTGAAGTTTAGAGATTTCTGCTATAGCTATCACTCTACCTGTATGCATCCTAGATAGCCATGTTGAGCAGCTATGTGAACAGCAGTATTTCCATCCTGGTCAACTTCATCCAGTGAAATCCCTTGTTCTTGCATAAACTGAAGAAGCCATAAAAGGATTTTCTCCTAAGGGCAAAGAAGTGTCACAAAAGGTAAGAACTAATAAAAAGGAATACTGGTGCTGTCATCTATAATTAATACTATCCAATAATTCTTTGTTTTCTCTCTTAACTTTGTAGACTTAGTGCATCATGGAACTTTGGTTTGTCTTTTTCAGGGTTTTGGGTTTCCTTTTTTCCTCCCAAGGAAAAAAGCTGAAATATTTTATTTTATAAAAAGAAATAACAGGAAAAACTCAAATACTGTAATGCATTCTGAGAAATTGTACATGAAGATTGTGAGAGCTTCTGTATTGCTGATGAAACCTGAGAAAGAATAACCTGAAAATCCTGAGGAAGAATATCAAGCTGAAAATCAGGTTGTGAAATTTGGTCAAACATCATAAGCCTCTCTGGAAAATTAAAATAGGATTATGCTCAGATCACAGAGCTGAGCAGTTAGATTCTTCAAATCTATAATCATTCCCCATCTCTGTGTGTTTGTGCTAAAGAAGAAGAAACACAACTAAAATCAGAAAATAAAGCTACCCTAATAACTCAATGTATTGACTCATGGACCATTTGTATGTCCTGCATGTTGGGAAGGATAGGGAGACTTGGACTGCAAAAACTTGTTGGTGAAGGTCTGGAAGCCAAAACTGAAGTAGAAACTTTCTTTTTTTTAACACCACCTTTTTTGTGTGTATATAGGTGCAATACACATTTATTTGGGTATTCTTTTCTAACAATGGAGAGTTACACATGTGCACTAAGCTTTTTTGATTTCTTATTTTCCCCAGGGAGTTTATTTGGAAAAAAAAAATTCTTCTCTCTAGGAAGTTCCCATGTTACACAAGATTAAATTTCATTTTGCCATAATGAATACAATACATATTGAAAATCTAGAATAAATCTATAGATTACATGGAAAAGTGGGGTCCTTTAAAGCTGACTACAGCTGCTTTCCCAGTTTTTCTGTCTGGAAAGGTTAAAATACTAAATTACTTCCTAGCATAAAACTTTTTTATTTAAATGTGTATTTTTTAATGTCTTGCATTGATATCTATCATGTTATACTGACTCAGATCTACATTTCAAAGGGGCTTTGTGGATTCTAGGTTACTGAGGCAAACACTGATGCACAGGCTTAATCTGCAGCACCTTAGTAGCTTCAGTGACACATAAGTACATAATCACCCAAAATTAGAAATGTGATAAACTAAAGCAGACATAAATAAAACAGTACTGAAACCACATACAGGACACTGAGCAGTAATTATTAGAAAAGACAAAGAATAAAAATGAAGAAATAAAATTCTTAAAACGTTGGATATAAACCTGCATTTTTTGGTGTAAAAGTACTACAAAAATTTTAATCTCAATGAAAAGGAGAGGACCTTTCTAGACCTACTCCAGGATGATTCTGTCTATTTAAGCATCTGGGTCCCTGATTACTGCTTCAGAGGGCTGCTCTGTCTGATGCTTATCTTCTTCATATCTTCACTTTAGCAGCAATTTTGTTCTTATTACAGGGTGAAGGAATAGGTATTTTGACTTCTCCTTTGCTGAAGGCCCTACACAGCTAACAGTCAGCATGGAGAGATGACTACATATCACATATCCCTTTAAAAATACTTTTGAGCATTTCTCAATAAGCCAGTGGTGCTGGCCAGCAAGGAATAAAGATTGTACTACTCCTATGACTTGTCCCTATGTTTTAATAATTAAAAGAAAAATATTTTAGCAAAACTTATTTGCAGAATTGGAAGACAACTATAGCTTTGAAATAATATATTTCTTTGGAATATATAAGAGACCAGAATGTTAAGCATGTTCTGTAATTTTATGATCACAATCAGCATGGAGCAAATTATACTTTCTAGTAATTTGTCTTATCAACAAGGAAATCTAGTGGCTGGGTGGCTCTGTTCAATCATCTATACTTAGGACTACCTGTACACTAAGTGATCACAGGCACAGTGTCATAAGTCACAACAAATGTTTTGTTTCAACAAATGTATCCTTGACCAAAAAAAAACCCAAGAAAACAAATAATTGTTTCACTTAAAACCAGTGAAAACAAAACCATCTTGTATCAAAATATGTCACATTTCACTTTATTAACACTCATAATATGTATTTGCAGGAAAAATCTTTTCTGAAATAGATTTATAGTCTTCAATTTATTCAAACATAAGGAAAGATAGTAAGACAATTCATCAAATGAAGACAATGAAAAATTATCACTTTTTTTGTGAAGTAAGAGTAACTGATAAATACTGATAAATTATTCAGTATTACTTTAAAGTCCTACAAATGCTTATGCTCCAGCAGTTATTAAACCCTCTCTGGCATATTCTAGACCTACAATAATACAAATCTCTCTGCAAAAAGATTTCAGGGAAATTTGGGACAGGCTGCTGACTTTGGTTCCATCAGACGACTTTTAGAGAAGAAAGTACAGCTAACATGGACAACATAAATCATGACATGGCCTACAAAGGGAAGGGTAAGCATGCTGAAGAGTACTGTATCTACAGCTAATCCTAGCCTCATCACTTGGTATCAATTAAATAAGCTGGCCTTCCCAGTATCCCTTCACAGTAGAGGAGTAGGAGTGAGTGAAAACAACACATTTCCTTTGTAATAATGACAATAGACAGGAAGACAAATATCCTGAGGTGTAAAACAAAGGTGTTTTGTTAAGTATCTGCATATTTGACTGTCATATACTCCTTCCCATTGTGCTCTCCAGAACTGTACCACCATCAAAGCATGCACAGGACCCCTTCTAGGTCCTCAGTTATGTTTCAGGCTGGTTGACCAAAGTCTTCCTAGATTCTCCTGAGTTCAGAAACCACAAAGCCTTGGCATTCCCCATGCTCTGCCTCTTACCTGTGCAGTCCATACCACAGTATTCCTGACAGAAAGATATTCCAGCCCCATGAAGCTCTAAGTCAGTACTAGGACAATGTGCACCCAGGACTGCACCACCACATTCCTGTGAGATGGTGAACTGGGTCAGATACAGCTGGCATGCCCAGTACTCATGACTATGCCCAGTGTGAAAAGGCCAGCCAGCCATCATGGTTTCTCTTGTATAATCTCATGCTTAAAGAAACCCTTGCTAGGAGCTACGCTGACCAGGCTACAGGTTGACTTTGAGCTTTTGTTCTCTTCAATCACATTAATTTATGCGATCCCCTCTCCCATTGGAAAAATAAAATGTTGCTACATGTCCTTGGAGGCAGGCCATGACTGTAGTTTGACGACTTTTAACATAGGAACTTTGCTATGAACTCCCTCCTGCTGCCCATTCTAAATTATAATTCTTGAAGAAAAATACGGCATGCCTGTCTAATGCCTGCAGAAACAATGGATAGACTGACTGTCTTAGAAAAGGATTCAATAACAGGTCTTCCTTGTAAAAATATTACTCTTGTAATTCTGCCAAGACCAGTGTTTACATGGATTATCTCTCATGTAAGTAATGGTAAAATAAATTACAGGACAGTGCCAAGTAAGCATTTAAATTTCTTGAAGTTTTTTTTTTTTCTTAACAGAGTTGGGTAAGATAGTCTGGCACCCCTTCAGCCTCAATATTCCCTCATTTTTAAAGGTTGTTTATGGATTATAAAATAAAAGATAATTGGCATTACATATGAACTTTGTTTGGCATTCAGCTAACTAAAAAAATTTGGCAGTAATTTATATATCAATTTATATATCAAATTTCATGGGTGGCTGACTGTAGCTGGTGTTTCTTAAGTGGTAGAGCTTCCGTTCTGCTTTGACAAGAATCTAGATAAAGTGTGCCAAATCTGTTTCTGGCAGTAGATACCATAGCTCACTGAAAAAAACCCCAAAACTTCACTGGCTTTAGTTTATATAAATATCTTTAGAGATGAGGACAAAATCAGGTTAATCAAGTGAAGACAGGAATTTAAGTTCACATGCAACTTTCTCTTCCCAACTTTTTATTCCCAGTAATAAGCACTCTTTTCTCTAATCCAGTTCTGATCTGGCTCACATATTCTCTATCCTCAGTGTTAAGTTTACAGCAAACTTGCTAACACCAGCAATCTGTATAACAAGCAGGGTCCTATCTCACACCAGTAAACATCTGTATAGTAGGAAAATGTGGTGACACGCAGCTGTGCGAAAGGCAGAAGTCTTTGTGAATCTGAACTTAGAAAGTTTTCTTTTCTGTGCTCCCCTGAGCCCTCACCCCTCCCCTGAGTTATTCCCATTGGATTTGACCTGTAATGTATTCAGGCTGGACACTGTCTCTATTTGTTTTCCCTTATCACCTATACTCCCTATAAAAACTGTAACCAGACCCCCGCTCCTCTGTCACTTGTGCCTTCGGGGTTTGAGCAATACAACTTTCTTTGGACTACACACAGGTGTCCTCTCTTGGTCTCTTTGTCTCGGGTCCTAGTAGCGCTCTCAGAGCAGCACTGCCCGCGTCACAGCGAACTCACTGCTACCTGGAAATCTCGGCAGTGACCCAGGGGCAGCGGCGTGCATTCCTCACCATCGGCCACCCACGGGCTGCTGCGGGCCAGCGCCTGGGCGACGGGAGCCGCGTGGAAATAAAGGCAACAGGAAAATGAAGAAAAAAGGAGGTCTTTGCACAGCATGAAAACAAGGGTGTCTCTGTGCCTATGGAAACTGCAGGAGAAAAGGTAGACTCCTAGCTCCACAGCCTTCCAAACCTGCCTCATCTCCTTCCCTACCCCTACAGTAAATTCATGCTTGGACAGAAGCAGTTAGCAGCAGAAAAATGCCACAATAATTGTATGGCATTGAATGAGACAACCACACATAGCAAAGAATGATTGTCTTAGTGATTATATTTTGTTTCCTCTCTCAAGAAGAGTAAAAAGCATTAGCACAAAATCAGTGAGGTTTGGTGTCCATGCCAATATCTGGGGAGTTGGAACTGGATGATCTTTAAGGTCCCAACCCAAACCAGTCTATGATTCTGTGAGTCCATGGTTTATATTTAATGTCTGTCAAAGAAACTGTGGGATAAAATGGTCCCTCTGCTAAAGAGATTAGAGAAGAATAACTGATCACTATTTCTTTCACAGTAGATCCTGGAGAAGGTCCTCTGAAGATGAGTTACTGGAAGATTTACTTAGGAGAAAACAGACATTGTGGGAAGAGAAGATAGTGTAACTAAGTGGCATGTATGTTCCTCCAGATATTAGCAAAGCAGCAAAATGCTGTACTTCAGTGCTGTCTCATTATATCAATAGACAAGTTAGGTGTGAAACAGGATTGATTTACAATTAGCTCAGCTGGCTAGAGCAAGGTACTAATAACACCGAGCTTATGGGATCAAACCCCATATGGGCCATTTATTTAAGAGCTGGACCACATGATCCTTGTGGGTTCCTTCCAAATCATCAGAATATTCTGTGAACCTACAGCTTGCTTTTGTATGTAGTTTTCAAGTAAATTGGTTAAAGCTAGACAGATGGTGTTCAAATTCCACCATACTTCATGCCAATACAATGAATTCTTAAACTGCAAAATTTTTCTTGCTCTTTTGATGCATCCTATGTGTCCTCTAGATTACAACTAATCTCTGTAGATATTCTTAGGATTTGCTTGTTGACTTAATACACCAGTTAATCTTCTCCTTGCCATTATTCAAACCTTATAAAACAAAACCCAAGAAAATGCTGAAAAAATTATACAGGTTAAATTAGGAAAGATTTTGCTATACTTCAACTAATTCAGAGCACCTGTAATTAAAAACCACAAAATGCCATAGATACTTTAAATCTTGTACAAGCATCTAAGTAATCTATTTGAAGTAAAATAAAGTCATACCTGGCCATAGCAACCTGCATAATGAATAAGGCTTGGGTGGTCTTTTGAGCAACTGAGTTCTGCAATAGCTTCTGTTTCACTCACCATCCACCGAACACACTCCAGCTGACCATTCTAAACAAGATAAAAAAAAAGTCTAGATTCCAGCCATTTCCATTCTAAATACATCTACTAAAGAGCAAAAAGCTTATCAGAATTATTAAAAATTTCCAGTTTGTTTAAGAATTTAAAGAATAAGTCAATAACACCTTTTGCCTTTTTCTGCAGAAAGGCTGGCTTATTTAACAATTGGTTCCTTCCAACAATACTTGAGCATTCTTTGTCATTCACAGAAAAGAGTGTGAATGTGCTGGAGTTCTTCCTGTAAGTGAGGATGCCCCAGAACAAGTATTTCTAATGATGACCTACATAACTGGACTTGTCCTGGTCATTGCAAAGTTCTGTAAGAGCCTTTAAGTGATATGGCTTAACTAAATATTGTAGCTCTTGATCCTTCCTTCCAGAGTGGTTTTCAACATTGATACAATGATATTTATTTTTCTTGTTTCTTTATACCACTGCAACTCCCATAATGTTGTACTATGCAGGGTGTGGCACCTCTTTTCCACAAAAACACTAAGTATCAGAATTTACTGGTTTACAGACACATTATATACCTACCTTGAATAAACATGACAGAAAAATTGCAAAACTTTTCTAAGACTTTAAACTGGCAGACTGTAACTATACAGTTTGACACAGGCCAAGATTTTGGAGCATTTCCTTAGTACAACTAGAATCAGTTTAAATTTCTAATTATACGACTTGGCCCAGAAAATAAAAAATGCAACTCTGCCACCTGCACTAGGGCCCTAGATCATTGAAATGCCACAAAAATGCAAAACTGCAGGTTGGAATCCACCAGTCTTCTCAGTTTCCAAACCCTTCCCAGGAAGCAAGTAACAATAAACCCCTCAGAAGAAACAGAAACTCTTGTATTATGTTTCACCCCTTCTCTTCTTTGTCCTTAAGGTATTTAGAGAATAAAAGGAATTATATTTAACCATTCACTCTCACTAAAGAACCAGAACTACTATGGTTAAATCATCAGACTTCCTGCACAGTCTTTTATTTTAGCATAGTAACAGTATGAAATTTCATATTTTTCTACAAAGTAAGTTTTCCCGTAAACCTGGACATTAAATTTATTGAGATTTTAACAGGTTGTTCTGCAACATGTACATTTTAACTTTTTTGCAACTGCTTTAGGCAACTGGGAATTTTCACCTCGAAGTGCTTTTATGCTTTGTAAACTTATTTTCACACTTGCCTTACAAGATTATACCACTATTTGTAAAAAACCAAGAAACTGTTACTCTCCCTAAAGAAACAACTGAATCCAAGTTAAGTGAAAGCTGCTTGAAATATAACAAATATTCTTTAGATTCAGTAAATTGATCTAAAAATTGATGCATTGATAACAATGTAAAAATTCTGTCATTATTATTCAGTGGATATTACATTCAGTGTAGTAATTCATTTTACTTTGCTTATGTAGTATCAGCCAACAGGAGTTTTTTTCCCTTACTTATAAAGCTTGAAAAAGAACATCCTGCTGGATGTGTTTCTTACTGCCATGACAGGAGGAAACTAAAAGACCTTTATGTCACCTTACAGTAGAGAAAGGGCCTATTACCTTTATTGCTAACCCAGCTGGAGTTAGCTGCAAAATGTTTCGTTCATTCAAACAGTCTTCACCCATCAAAGAAGTGAGATGCTGCAGGCATTCTGCATGTCCCTTTGAAGCTGCTACATGCAACAGATTGTTGTCACATTCATCATGGATCTTATCCAGATTATCTGCTGCTAAATGTGGCTGTTAAAAAAAGCAATATGTTGTTTACAACTAAGGATAAAAAGATACATTTATCCTCACAGCCCCAGACACAAGCCAAACACAAGGAGGTTTCCCAATAGGCATGTTATTTTACAAGTCAAAATCCAGAGCTTTTCACTTCACTGTATAGAACCTGGGTACTATTAGCATAAGGACAGAAGTGGTATGTTCATTGGTTTGATTAATTGTGAAGTTTCTCTCCTCATGCAATTGTCATGCAATAATGCAAGCTCTTAAGTGCCTTTAAATCTTTGCACTAGTCTAGTCAACAAGATAGCTGTAAAAATACCCACATGCTAATAATTCCTGTCTATTTTGAGTTTTCTCTGATTTAAATTTTTTGGCATTATATTGATAAGTAACTAAAGATAAAATATTCATGATTTCTGAAATACATTTCTGATTAATTTTGCTTATCATAAAATGGTAGCTTATGCTAAGCACCATCTAAAATCTAGTTAAAGCACAAGACAGAAGACTTTTTATGTGATAGCTTATTTCCATGAAAAAAACTGTTGAGATATTTACTCTAAGTTCAACAACCACTATGGTGTAGTACATTATTTCTGCCTAATTCTAATTTAAAGACAAAACAATTGAATTGAGAAACTCCAGAAGAAAAACAGAAGATTGAAGACAGAGTCAAGAAGTACCAATAACGAAGTTCCTAGAGTTACATAGTCTTGCCAGAGTATTGTTCCATGAGTGTACTTCATGAAGAGGTTTCAACCAATTTGGAAAAGATACATATTTTCTTACCTATGATGTCCTCTTTTTCCCCCCAGTTTCTATTTCAGGATGAATTTAACTTGCTTTTATTTCTTAATGAGTAATCTAATATTCTCTTCTGCATCTGTCTAGTTTTGAATATCTTCCTTTGTCCTTGCTTCTATGTTAATGGCATGCCTTTGTGCTTGAGCTAGACTGCTAAACAGAGAAGCTAAACAAAAATCTAACAACAACAGTTTTTACACATACACTGTGCCTTCACCAGCTGTTCTGTGTGGAGATCACATGCTCTGCATCATTGCACTAACTTGCAGCCGGTTACTTTGGAAACCATCATTGACATTGCCTGATCACAGAGCTAAAATTTACTAAAAAACCTTCATATGGGTTAGAGGCCAACAAGGCTTTACAGAAAGCTCCTCCCTGAGAATGCTGCTGCAACAAGACAGCATAAACACTCCTGAATAATAATCAGAATACAACAGAAGCCTCTCTGTTCCCATCATCAACTTCTACATAACCACAGTGTAAACCAGCAAAAATTGAGCCAACTGACCCACAAATGTGAAAGGCAAAACTCAGGATTTAAATTTGATATTTAAGTGATCCTATCGGTTAAAATGTCTGCCTTTACAATTTCAGTGTACTACATAAAAGAGCAATCTTGGCCAGGCATGCATAAACTTAGTATCTTGGTTTTCCTACATATTTTATTTAAATATTAATACTTTCCATTTGGAAGCCCATCAGGTCAATTTCTAAGGAGTCTACAAGACAAAAAGGGCAGTGATTCAAAGTAGGAGCATCAGCTTAGCTAGCTTAATAAACCACATCATATGTCACTTTTATTCTATGTTACTTATGAAAAATATGATACTTACCAGTAAAGATATTTGGCCTTCTTTTACAATGTTTAAGATGCTTTTAATTTTTTTCACCTCTTCGCTCCTCTCTTCTGGGCCCCCTGCACTGCTCCAGTTCATACTCAGCTCCTCTAGCTGCTTGCTTTCTGCCAGTGCCGTCTGCAGGTGGAAAGTCCTCCGGTGGCAGTTTGGCATAATCTTCTCAGCTTTGTGAGCAAGAGGATCACCAAGTGTCTTGCTGAAGAAGCCCTTACCTCGGGCTTCAGATTCATGGGCTGAGCTACACTTAACTAAATGCTGGGAAAGCTCTAATTCTTCTGCTGAATGCTTTTGCTGATCAAGAACAATGGGTTGTGTTTTTCTCAGCTGAGTGCCTTTTACAGGAGACAGTACACAAAACTGCATCCCGCCAGCAGGCAAGCTCTCTGTGCTCCCTGCAGGACAGGTCTTGACACTTGGACCATTCACAGTTGAACACACATTTAGAAGTTTTTTCTCAGGAGCTACCTTTATAAAAGGAACAGGTTGCTGACTTGATTTAATATAAGGCACGTCCAAAATTTCATCCATATCCAGATCATAGTGCTCCAGCTCCCCAAGCAGAACAGCAGGCTCAGTGCTTTTGCTTTTAAGGCTCTCTCCTTCTCCTGGACTCTGGTCATCATTTGGAGGTGCAGACTGAGAATCACTGCCTTTCTGGTATTCTCCCTTCTGGTTCTTCTGGTCATCACTTTCATTGTTCTCAGAGCTTTCTGGATGGTGCTTTAATGGAGAAACCCTCTTCACTGGTCTGAATTTATTGCAGACATCTGCAATTCCTGTTGGTTTCTGTGCATTTCCAAGAAGAGTTGAGACCCCACAGTTCCAGCTGCTGCTGGAAACTAGAGAAATAAAGGAATTGATTTATCAGTGAGTGCTACCTAACATGTGTCATGATAGCATGCTGTAATGATACACCTGGCCAAACACCAGAAACAAGAATTATATGATAATATGCTGAATTCATATCTAAACAGATTTAATGGCATCTCTATCAAAACTGAAGAATTTTACATTCCTAAAATAAACTTTCTTCAATGATGTATTATGTAATAATTACAAATAATTAGTTAGAATCAAATTCTAATCAAAACCACATGTTGTCTGTGAGCCAACAATGTGTGCTTGTGCCCAAGAAGGCCAATGGCATTCTGGGCTACATCAGGAAAAGTATTGCCAGCAGTGATCTAGAGGTGCTCTTCAACCTTTACTTGGCCCAGATGAGGCCACATCTGGAGTTCTGTGTCCAGTTCTGGGCTCCTCACTACAAGAGAGACACGGAGGAACTGGAGTGGGTCCAGCAGAGAGCTGTTACTAGTAAGGGACAGGACCATCTCTCTTACCAGGAAAGGCTGAGAGAGCTGTGCCTGTTCAGCCTTGAGAAGGACCTCATCAATGTCCATGAGTATCTGAAGGGAGGGCTTCATGAGGAGGGACCAGGCTCAGCTCAGTGGTGCCCAGCAATAGCAGGAGAGGCAATGGACCCACACTGATGCACAGAAGTTCCACCCAAACACAGGGAAGAACTCCTTTACTGTGCAGGTGACTGAGTACTGGAACAGGCTAACCAGAGAGGTTTTGGAATCTCCTTCACTGTAGACATTCAAGAACAGTCTGGACACAATCCTATGGCACATGCTCTGGGATGGCCCTGCTTGAGCAGGGAGATTGGACCATGGAACCTGCTGTGGTCCCATCCAACCTGACCCATTCTGTGAGTAATAGCCTAGTGGCATTTACAGGGGTCCTGTCCAACCATATTAGTTTGTACTCTGCTCTGTATTGAGAGGCATCATAAGATTAGGATGATTTCCTGAGAGGGCAGTAAGAATTAGCCAAACCTTTTTAGTGGATTTGTCTTAGCACCAATAACAATAACAACTCAATTTTAAAGACCTGTTTCCTCTGGAAGATGTATTTTTCTTACAAGAACTAGAAATTCATGAACATTAACTGAGAGTTTAGACTGTTCAGCTTGGGAAACGAAAAGATCAGGAGGAATCGCATCATTAAGAAGAGGCTCTTCTCCATGACAGGGCAAGAGGCAACCAGCACCAAGTGAAATATAAGAAATTCTATCTCACTACAAGAAAACACTTTTTAAATTGTATGGCTGGTCAAACACTGGCATAGTTGCCCAGAGACTTTGAAATCTCCATCATTAGAAATATTCAGAATTCAACTGGACACACTCCTAGCTTAACCTGCTCTAGCTGCCCTTGCCATTGAATTAGATGATCTTAAGTGGATATCACCAACCTAAACAATTCTGTGATTCTCTGATCTAAAAATTAAGCCTACTTATTGAGATGTGATGTTCCTTTTGAACCTCTCCTCTCTGTGTTGGGCTTCTCTGTCAAACTTTCCATCCCTTATATGTATAACCTGTGTACACTCACACACCCACATCCCCATCTACACCTATAGCTCTGAATCTTCCAGACAGTTATTTCAGTGCACTGCAGGATATTTTGACCAGGGAATCTGACTTGAGAGAAGGGAAGGAGCTCAAGTCAACAGAACTCTTAATCCTATTGAACTTGAACTCAATCCTACTGAATTTGTACTCTTTCAGAAATAGTCCCATCTGGTAATATTGATGATCTTCATAATAAGTGGAATTTTGGCAAATAGTTTTCTTTCTCTTGTTATTTTCAGTTGAGGGACAGCACTACACTAAAACCACAAAAGCATTTAGGCAGTTAACTATTCCCCTCTTAATGTACACTAAGAGTTAATGCAGCCTAAAAGTCAAGGATACTGTTTAAACAAAGCAGATTTATAGCATGTACTAACTGCATATCAGTGGGATCTAATTTGTGGTGAAAACACACAATTTGCCATGAACACCTTCCTGAGGAAACAGATATATACACTTTCAGTGCAACATTAATACCTGACGCAAAAGATTAGTATGGCTTAGTAGTAATGGATGTCTGAAAATTACATTAATACTTTTGGAAGTGCTTAAGAAAACATTTCCAAAGAAGAAATAAAAATAATAATAACCAAAAGGCATGTAACTTAGTGGGCCAATACAAAGAACGCACTGTACTGACTTATTTATGTATTGTATAAGATTCTAGGTTCAAAGGCCTACACTTTTATGTTGGTTTTATTTACATGTGAAATTTTTTCCAAGTGATACAGGGAAATGGATACCATATGTTTCCCAGCTGTTTTGTTCTACAGGAACTATTAAACCCTCAGTATGGAAATGAATTCTGTCTGAGTTTTATGAAAACACTGCTTTCAACACAGGGGTCTAGACAGAGGAAAAAGCATCAATATTTTGTTTGTCGTCACTTTATTTAAGCTCACATTTATTTTGTTGCTTCACTTTCTCCACTTTTTAACTTTAGTAACATGCATTTACAGAAATACTGGTGACCAAATTGTAAAATCAGGCACTGAGAAGAAGCACTGATGTTTGTTACAAATCTGCCTCGGATAACTGTGAAGTCATGTACTTCTCCTTTCTTTCATTAAAGTTAGAGCAAAGTAAGGTATTTCCATTTTTCTTCTTTTTTTTTTTTTTTTTTCCCAACATTTCCTTACACACACAGGTTTTCCAGGGAAAAAGAATCAAACTGGAGCACCAAAAACAGTCAGCAATATTTTCACTGACTTAAAAACATCCTCTTCATTTAACTGAGATAATTTGCACTGTTTTTAATAAAGGATTAGAACATAGCATTTAACGATATAGTTGAAGGGATGAAAGCAAGTCAGACCAGCAGACACAGTATTTCTTTGTGCCATTTACCCCTTGGGAGCTGCATCAGTCCTTAGGCAATTAGAGCATGATTTCCCTCTACATGGCACTGCAGCCATATCCTGGAGTGGACCAGGACATGGCTTGAATCTCTTTCATTCTGCTTTCAGATGCTTGTTACCTGAAGAAGCAAAAGCAAGTGTTGCCTATAGCTTCCAAAGCACCAGTACAGCAGGAGTTACGCTGAGTAGTTTAAACAGCTGCTCCAGAGGAAAAGCCTCTTGCTCATCTCTCCATACTTATGAACTCAGAAAGGAGCCATTAAAAGTCTGAGTCAAATAAATACTGTTTGATTATTTTATAAAGAACAGTAAAAGATGGCCTGAGTTTAAGGCAGGGGGCTAGAATGTGGAGCAGCTAGTTTGATTCTAGAATCTGACAAATAATTCTGGTATACTCCTAAAAGGTGATGAAAATTTTTCCCCTAAGCTATGTGTCAAATTTCCCACATTTTCATTCATTAATATAAGATATCTGGATTATCCTACTATTGTATTACTGAGGCAAAAAGACCAAGGTACACAACAATTGCAGACTTCTTTTGCATTGGTAAAGAAGTGTTAGCTGCTTGATAGACCTGAGTTGTCAAAGTACTTCTATGGCATAAAAAAAACTGCATCTGATGAAAATCTGCAAAGGTCAAATTTGCAGATGTTGCTCTTCTCTGTATATTGCACTCTATTTTTTTTGGGTTTTTTTGAGGAAGACAAAATGCAAATGAGTCCAGAGGCCTGCAGGTTTATTTATAGGTTTTCTTATCTATTTACTTAGAGATGTCCTGGAACTATGGCAGGCAAATAAGCAGACAAGCGGACAACTAGGAAGCAATTTCTCTTTCAATTTAATCCCCATCTGACTCTATTTTCAGGAATCAAAATTGATTCTTATAACATGTTTCCAGTTGGAAGCATCTGTTGACTTTGGAGTATTTTTCAATCATCTCTGTGTCTAGAGCACTCTGTGTCTAGAGTGTGGAGTTTTTCTGGTAAACAAACATCCATAGAACTACAGGTTTTCTTCAATCAAAAAGATAACCTCATGCACAGATGAAATTTTACACTTGTGACATGCAGTTTCTATGATACTTACAGTTCAATGCCAAACATCAAAATGCCACTAAATTGTCCTGAGTATAATGAAAACATCAATATAGTGTTTTACTTTAATGAAGTTTGTGAGCAGCATTGACAACTGCTCATATTTTTTTAATGCAGTATTTCAGCATATTGCTCATGCAATATTGGGAGGGGATGTGTAGCAAGTCTACAGAAAGTTTTATATTTGGAGTTCTACTCTCATCTGAAAGAAATGCCTGAGCTTCTTCCTTGTGATATGCCTTCAGCAGACTTGAATCAATTAAGACCTGCATTAATTCTAGGTCCATATAAAGCACTGTGATTCTGACGTTGTATACAGGTGCTGAGGTGTTGACTACACTAGGGAAACTTTCCAAAAAATTATGTTTGCTATCACCAATGTATTGCCAACACTTACAGGAGTATGTGGGCTCCATGTGAAAGATGAAGGGGTGTCTCTTACAAATCAATGGATAATCAGAGCCAGATCTGAATATCTATTTACCCCTTTGTTAATATCACAAAATCCATATTTTACTGAATTCATTTTGACTGAAGGTGGCACTGTTTTACAGTTTTAATATGTCAATAACCTGTACCAGGAATACATACTGGAGTTCTTTAACATAAACTCTATATATAGCATGAGAACCTCAGTTAAAGAACAATGCTGAACAGATAAAAATGGAGAGGGTTTGCTCCCATTTAAGTGGAATTTCAAATCACTCTAAAGAAGAAAGGAAGAGTATACAGGGTAAATAATAATTAAGGCTTTTAAAGAACAGTGCATCTTTTCTAGGTAACTCAAACATTTTGTATATCTGTAAATGACTGTTTTTTTCTTATCTTCACTTGAGGAAGAATAATACAAAAGCCATCATTCTCAAATAGATAATAAAGGAAAGGCGAAGAAAATATTGAAATAAATAAATTTGGTTTACTCTTGTATAGAGCAATCTATGGATGCAGAAGGAAGGTAGCATGCAAAGTT